AAAGATTTGTAACAAAATAATTTTATGAAGCAATAAAAATTTTACAGATTTAGTGAATATATTAATGCACTATGTATGTTTTAAAGAAATAAAGCAGAAAGATTCTAAACAGCCATAACACTTGAATAAAAGGACATTTTTCTGCTCAATTTTTCTGGTCAGAGTTGCACAGAAAGTTTTATGATTTTTAAAATTGTTTATTTAACAGGTGTGTAAACAGATGCAACTTGTTTATTTTATTCCTACTCTTAAAATTTCACCACTGCCAGAAAGCTTGTGGATAAATTTATAATATTTAAATAAAAATTTAAAAATTATATAAATTCTAGCAATAAATAAATTGTTTCCTTTTTACCATTTAGGCAAAAATAAAAGAAACTCTAGAATTGCATATGCTTTAAATAATTTACTAGTCAGTATTAATGTAGTGGCATACTGACATTTAGAGGAAAACTTTTTGGGACTGTGAAGCTGCTTCCAGTTTAGGGGAGTCCACTGTATAGCAGTCTTTATTTCAGTAACACCAGCAACAATTGAAATGACAGTGTTACAGTGAATTCAAAAGTAATGGTTTGTATGCTTGTGTATTTTTATATGTAAAACATGTTCTTTCCTGCCTGCCTGCTCAAATAATGTTAAGTAATGTTAATTTTAAAACTCATTTACTGAGTTCACATTATTGAAAAGATACATTCATTGTTCTTAAGTCACTTTAAAAGGAAAGTCTTTTTCTTTGCTTATGAAACTATTTAACTGACACCTTTTCCAAAGCAAGCACCTATAAAGGCAAAACAAATGCCCAGCAAAGTTTGTGACTATTTTGCAGGTTTGCCCTTGAAACTGTTCTTACTCCAATCCTGCTCCGATCTGTAGCAGGTCATAAGCATGGTAGATTAACAGCAAAGACTTTGGTGCCTGACGGCATGGTTTTGGGACCTGATTTCACAATTTAGCAGTTGTGTGACCTCGGGCAAGTTACTTTTTGGTTCTGTGTCTCATTTGTTCTTCTTTTTATTTTTGGAGATGGAGTCCTGATTTGTCGCCCAGGCTGGAGTTCAGTGGTGTGACCTCGGCTCACTGCAACCTCCTCCGCCTCCTGGGTTCAGACAATTCTCCTGTCTCAGCCTCCTGAGTAGCTGGGACTAACTGTTTTGTATTTTCAGTAGAGACGGGGGTTCACCATGTTGGTCAGGCTGGTCTCAAACTCCTGACCTTAGGTGATCCACCGCCTTGGCCTCCCAAAGTGCTGGGATTACAGGCATGAGCCACCGCGCCTGGCCTCTCATTTCATCATCTGTAAAACAGGTGTAATAATAGTATCCACTTATAGGTCTGTGGTGAGTTATTAACACATATATATGGCACTTAGAACAGTACCTGGCACACAATTGCTATGTAGGTGTTAGCTTCATTTGAAATTTAGACTTTCTATCCTAATTCAATTTTTCCTCTTGTCAGTTGCATTTGACAGTGTTTATTTGGTCTCCGTGGTGCTTGAACGTTAGGTTTCCCAGAAAAACTTCACCTTGGCTGTGCCCCCTCCCATCTGTCAGGGCCTGAGCACATTCCCCTGTGCCTGGGGTGTTTTTCACCCCTTACCTTCAGATTCTCTCTTCACAGAGTTAACATCTTTTGTCCTTTAGTTCTCACCTCAAACATCACTTCCTTGGGAAAACCTTCCCTGGTCCTACCAAGCTAGATTTAGGGCCCCATGCTTTAAGCGTTCTTATATCCCTTTAATTTTCTTTCATAGCACTTAACAAAGTTTGTGGCTATAATTATGTGACTATTTAAATATATATCCCCCACTTGAAATCTAAGCTCCTCAAAGGCAGGGTAAAAATCTATTTTGCTCATCACTGTGTCCCAATCATGATAGCTTTGGCATAGAGTATTTGCACAAGAAAAACTTGTTAATAAATGATAAATCAATTTCAGAGATCAGAAGTCTGGAGTTCAACACAAGTCAACATGATTTGCCCACGATTATACTAGTAGACACGACAGAGTTAGAAGTAGAATTCACTTCTGACTCAAAGTCCTTTATTGTTTCCAGCTATTACATCTTTGATTATACAAATCAAACAAAGAACTGTGCAATTAGTATTGTGGAGCTTCTAGAATGACAAGTAAAAGTACAAATCAGAAAGACTTGAACTATTTAAGGTATTCTGGAGGAACTGAGTCTCCCTGAGAAACTGATTTTTACAACATGAAGTAGGAGTTAGAATGGGTGCGAGGAGATGGGCAGAGGCTTCTAGGTAGAAAGAACCATTTATGCCGCAGTCCAAGGATGAGAAAAGCTTGGTGAATGAAAACAGAGAAAAGGCCACTGTGATTCCAACAGAAAGAGTAGGAAGTGGGAGGCTGACGTTGATCAGAGGGGCAGGGCCAGATCATGCAAAAGCTCATGTTCGTAACACAAGGGAAAGCCACTGAAGGGTTTCAAGCGGGGGATGACACAGTCAGCTTTGCATTTTCATAAGACGATACTGACTGCACTCTGAGGGATTTCAGAAACAGAAAACTTGGTAATTGGTTGGAGATGGGAGTCAAGATAGAAGGACATAAAAAGGGAATGCTGATGTGTCTGGTATAATCAACTGGGAGGATTGTGGCACCATTTACTGAGAGAGCCATTAGTAGATAGAGCAAGATTATTAATTTCGTTAAATATATGATATGCTCTCAATAAATAGTGACAATTGTTATTGTCTTTGTGGTTGCTATTATTAATCATTATTCCAAACCACTTGCTGTGACTGGGAGTGATGGTGATTTTTATGGATTTCAATGGATTTTGGCCTGATGTGTTACTCCCACTATGTACACAAGCACATCTGGAGTTGGTGATTGGAAAAGGAAGTCACCCAAGGGACCAAGAGAAGGTAGACTTAGGATAACGTGAGGAGAACATGAGAAAACAGACTTTTTAATTTTTTGAATTTCCTTCTCCTTTTTCCCAAATCAAGAAATTTTAGATATGATAGTATGACCATGGCCACTAGATCTATGAGAGCAAACAGGTGTATGAGGCATCAATGCTGTGTGGGGAGACCAACCTATAAAATTAGTCTGAATTTGCCTTTTGGGGTAAATAATGGATGAGCATAGGCAGGTCAAAGGGCTTTCCTATAAACTGAGTAAGCAAAGAAATCAGGAAGTATGCTTAGATCTTTGACCGTGTTTTTTTTTTTTTTAAATTTAGATTTTATGTATATATCTTTGCCTCATGTAAAATCTGTCATGTTCATTTAGATCGTTTACATGTAGTAAAAAAAAAAAAAAAAAAAAAGAATACCTATTAGGATGGTTAGTTGGCACTATAGATTATGTAGCCCATTTTAATTCTGGTGCCACCTCTGCAAGCATACCAGGAGGTTGCTAAGCCTTCACACTGTGTGACTGGCTCATGTCCACTGCCTTTGTTCCCTAGAGATACAAGGAAAGCAAAGGCCATGCATCAGGATTAGCCACATGGTGTTAATGAGAATCCCTGCCATCATTATCCTGTTTATCCTGTTAAAGAAGTCCTGGAGTGTATGAGGTAGATGGCAAATGTGTTAAGTATACTAAAAGACAAGGTTCATTTCTGAAGTCTTGAACCCTGAGTTAAGAAATTTTAGGGTACTGAGTCCACGTGCTAACTGGGCATTTTCCAACAAGGCATCTACAAAACAACTAAAGAAAGAGGCAATGAGGGGAAGTCAAATATAAGAAAAGTCCAGATTGCTTTGGTCACATGAGGTCCTGCTTACAATGAAAAGCCACAGTGATTCCTGCTTAATCTCACACATATATTTGGCATCATTAAAGCTTAACCATCATCAGGGAACATCATACAAAGACATTTAGACTGGTATACAGCAAGGGGTTTTAAAGAAGTGGAAAAGATGAATATTTCAAATGACCTTCTAGGCAAGTTTGACATGCATTTTATTTATACTAGAATATTAGGGAGGTCCTTGACGTATTTTAATGTATTTTTATTTATGCCTTATTATATTAAACTAGGAAAAGCATTGAATAATATCTATTTTCACTCTTTTTTATTTATATAAGCACATACACATAGCTTAAAAGTGAACATGTCTTTTTTACAGCCTTGGGAAATTTGTCACATTTTCTAATCTGGTATAATTCAACAAGGTATAAACTACCCCTGCCTCCTGCATTCAATGTAACAAAATAAGCCAGTGCTGAACCATTTGAGCATTTGCATCTATTCCTTATTATATTAACCAGCCCTTGTTTATATTCAGAGTTTTAGCTTTTTGATAAGCCATTTTGATTACTATTCAGAAATTCTGAAGAAGAGAATTTTCCCCCTCACATCACTAGTGGTTAGAAGCATGGGTTTGAAAAACATTTTTTAGCTGAGTAATCATTTAACCTTTCTGTGTCTTAGCTTTCTGCATAAACCTTGGATGCTTATTGTAAAACAGAATAAAGTAGAACCTATCTCAAAGACTTGCATTGAGTGCTTTATTTCATGTAAAAAACATAGAACTGTGCCTGGCACATATTAAGTGTCCAAAAAATGTTAGTTATCATCATTACCATTTTTATCCTTCTAAAACAGAATCATTTACTTGTTCCTTGGGACTGGGGAAAAGAGTCTACAAAATACATATTTAACCTTTTCCATTGTATTCCTAGCCCTTTGCTTTATCAGGAGCATCAATCTTTTTCCCACTCAAAATATTTTTCATATTCCAGTGGTTCTCAAGTTTTTCTTTTAAATAGGCACCTGTATAATATAGAGAGACATTCCATGAACTTTCACGATATAATCTACAATTTTAGAATCTTTTGATTAAGCACATAAGAACAGAGGAATTTAAGGAACTCTTGCAATAACTCTACAGCCCCTCCTGAGTCTGAGGCTGACTTGGTTAGGAACCATAGTTTTAATCAGTAATTAATATATTTAGACTGAAGTATAATTCTGGTTTATTTTTAATAACCCAATGGGTCACAGCTCTTTCAGTCTCTCTTACCTCGCCCATGACTGCTATGGGAGTCTCTCCTGTTGCCTGAGCAACACGATGTTCTACTAAGTAAAACATATATTCGTCGTAGAGTAGACGGATCAGGTGGAAGGAGCCAAAGCTAGCAGCACTGCGTAAGGTTAAGTCCCGAATAACCATTGAGCTGTTCCAAGAGAAAAGACATATATGCAGCTAATATTAATGACAAAAATTAGCACTCTACTTATTTTTCCTCTTAAAAAAAGTCAAGCTGGGAGTCTATATGGTTGGTATAGTATAAAACCTGCCATGAAATCATTTCATTATTGAAAGCAGTTGCCTCAACTCATTTAAATAGAATGATAAAGAGGTAATCCTCACCGAGACTTGATCCTTATTAGAGATAGATAGTCTTAGTGGAAAAAGTCACTTTACTATCATAGGCAAGTCTGCTGCTTCTACCAAACTCACAAATAAATCAGAATTCAACAAAAAATATTTCTGAAAGATTCAGCACTCATCACTACCCTAAGAAAAAGCAACTTGAAGTAAAAATCTTACCGATGAAGGTTGGCAGTCTGTCCCCTCTCAGTGATAATGACCTCTGGGGTATGCTTTAGGAAAAATATGTATTTCTGCCAGACAAAGCTTACAAAATATACTAAGCAATATTCCTAGATGTGGCAATATAGACTACAGGCAAGTATGTACAAGGATTCCAGCAAGTTTTCTTGGAAGGTAAACGTATTAAGTGCTTCCAGTTTCTTATGATTTCCACTTAAATTATGGCATATTTACATTAGAAATAAGCACAATAAAATCAATTAAGAAATCCATTATTTTTGAAAATGCATTTAATGTATATAATATGAAAATATAAGCAATATTATTAATAAAATAATAATAAACTCTATTATATTTAAAATGGAAATGAGTCCAAAATAAAATCTTGGCTTCAACATGCCAATCATTAAGCTTGTTCACACACTTCAAACCTTAAAATAGTCAAAATTTAGAATCAGAGTGATGTGTGTGTGAGAGTGTGTGTATGTGTGTATGTGTGTGTTTCTTACCACTTTCATTTATTGGCCTTTTTCTAAAGACTTTTGGCATACGAACACTAAAACCACCATTCAATTCTCAGGAGAAAGAGGTAAAATCTCACCTATGCCTTGTTTTACAGTAAAGAATTATAACACATGAGGCAAATGGAAAAATAAAGACTGTACTTTTGTTTTCTGTTTCATTTTTCAACCTTGTTTAAAGAGAGGCTACTAATACATCAAATTGTATGCATTCAACTTGGCAAGTGACAAATCATCATTGTCCATCTGAAACACAGAAGCCTTGAATTCTGATTCTGTCTCTTCATTGACTGTTGACCTCAAAAAGATCATTTATTTCCCTGAGATGTTTTTCCTCTTGCATGAAAACAAAACACTGCCTTTAGTCTTATCTAACTTACATGCTTATTTCAAGGATAAAATAAGTTAAAGGATGTGAAATCAACTTATAACTAGAATGCTATTCAAATATAAGTGATTGTGATTATAATACACAGAAAAAGAGAAGCTGGCCTTCTCATTCTCATTTATTTATGGTGGCAAGAATAGCAATTATTATATGATGATGGCAGAGGGCCTCTCAATTCTGTAGATCTATTTACTAAATTATAATAAGAAGAATAAGTGTGGGTTTGAAGTTACACAGACCCAGGTTACCACTGTGTGATTTCAATTGTGATCACGTAATTTTTTGTAAGGTTCAAAGGTTAGCCCAAGAGTCAAATGAAATAATGTATGTGAAATCTTAAGAAAACTACCCATGTAACTATACTGTTACCTACATTAGTGTTAATAATATATTCATTATCATAAATAGTAGGTCTAGTGAATAATATCTTGTAATTGATTACCTTAATGAATTCCTTAAGTTTACAACTCTATAAATAATTAAAAATAAATGAATACTTTCATTTGCATGCCAAAATATATGACAAAATTCTATATATAACTCTATCCATGACTTTTCTAAAATTCAGTGACATATTACCAATTTGTAAAAATAATTCATAAGATCATAATATAAGAGCTACGTGAAAATAAATGTTTATATTCCTATGGAAAAAAATTTTAAAGCAGTGAATCACTTACTAAAAAAAAGCAAAAACAACACAAAAATAAAAATAAAATGTTATGTAACATTTTTACCCATACTAACAAAGACTTGAAATAAATGATTTTTAAAGTAAAGCATGAACAGAATATTTGCTCCTAATTGCATTTATCTTGCTGAAGAAGGATAGCAAGTATCTAAAATTTTCAAATTTTAAAAATTTAAAGGATAAGACAAATGGCTAACAAACATAAAAAAATGACTCATTTTATTTGGAATTAAAGAAATGAAAATTAAAGTAAGATACCTTATATACTCTACAAAGCTGTCAGAGGTTAAAAGACCCAATGTTATAGTTGGTTTGGAAAAACTCTCCTTTACTGTCTCTATGAATATAAATTCATAAAACTTTTGTAGAGGGAAATTTGGCAGTATTTGTCAAAATTTAAAATGTCAAAACCTTTGACCCAGAAATCGAATTCTAGAAATTTACACAAATAACCAAAGATAGTTACAACTGCAGCACAATATTTGTACTAGTGAGAAACTAGGAGGAGAAAGTAAATATCATTAAAAAGATAATCTAGTAGGATGCTGATTAAACAAGTTATGGCTCATTTAGATATGAAATTGTATGCATATAAGTAGTTAAAAATGAAGTAGACATATAAGTAGTAACATGGAAAGATGTTTATAATATAATGGTTAAGTTGAAGCAAGATATATGAGCTCATTTACATAAAAACACTCCATACGTCAAAATATTCCTACCCCCAAGTAAACTGGAATATCTAATACTTTATTAGCATTGAGATCACACATTTCATTAAAGTAGTATTAGTTACTTTAAATGTTTATATCCTTTTACTTGAACTTATCCAAAGATATATGTACGATTGTATATGAAGACAATCATGATAGCATTTTAAAAACTGTATCAAAACACCAAAACCCACCTTAATGTTCAAGAATAAGGGAATGTCTAAATAATGTATAAGGCATAAACATAATGAAATAGTACGAGGACATTAAACATTATGTTTCTGAAGATATTTAATGGCAAGAAATGCTTAAGATACAATTGCAAATAAAAAATGTTAAGAGAAAAATATAGTTAAATAGTTCACGGGAAACAACTGGATCCCAATTTTATTTAACCCAAAAGGAAAACATTTAACCAGTGGCAATTTCTGGGTAGAAGTTTTTGTATTTCCTAGATTATCTTTTTAAAAAATTAATTTTTTTTTTTAGAGATGGGGGTCTTGCTGTATTGTCCAGGCTGGGGTGCAGTGATGCCATTATAGTGATTCACTGCAGCATTGAACTCCTGGGTTCCAGTGATCTTATGCTCCTCACCTCCCATAGGCACTTGCTACCATGCCCAGCTTATTTTATTTTGTTAAAGATGGGGTCTCACTGTGTGGCCCAGGTTGGTCTCGAATTCCTGGACTCAACAGATCCTCCTGCCTCAGCCTCCCAAATAGCTGGGATTACAGGTGCAAGCCCCCATGCCTGGCCTGTATTTACCACATTTTCTAATGTGAGCATATATTAACTGCATAATAAAAATATTTATTTTAAAAGATGTCATTCATTATATAATAACACAGAAAAACAATACCGAGTCAGGTGAATGTTAATAAATCTTTTCAGGAATGAATATCACAGATAGAGAATGAGTCTTTCTTTATACATTTCTAAGTTTGAATTTTAGGTCTTTGTATTTCTCTTTCTCTTTTTTTGTTTTGGAGATGGAGTCTCGCTCTTGTTGCCCAGGCTGGAGTGCAATGGCATGATCTCGGCTCACTGCCACCTCCGCCTCTTGGGTTCAAGCGATTCTCCTGCCTCAGCCTCCCGAGTAGCTGGGATTACAAACATGCGCCACCACGACTGGCTAATTTTGTATTTTTAGTACAGACAGGGTTTCTCCATGTTGGTCAGGTTGGTGTCGAACTCCCGACCTCAGGTGATCCACCCACCTTGGCCTTCTGTTAAAATACAATAACCCTGAAATCATGTGAACAACTAAGGAGAATGTTCATAACAAATAGTTTTCTGGTATCATTTTAGAAATGCAAATTCAACTTTTCGAAGAAAATTCACATTTATTTATTCAGCAGATATTTATTGTGTTCCTACTCTGTAGCAGGGTCTTGGTTCAGACAAGAGAGACAAAATTTGGTTTCAAAAAAGATCACATTCTATTAGGCGAGACAGTCAGTAAATATACAAGTAGATAAAAAATATAAAGTTAGAGTAAGAGATCCTATAAATCAGGGCCAGAGACTGGAGAGTGATGAAGGCAGGCATTTTAAGTTGGGGTATCTAGAAAATTCTTTCTGAGGAGGTGATATCTGAGCAGAAACTGGATTGAAGTGAGAAAATGAACACAGGTGAAGAATTTTCCTGGCGTTCCTGGCAGAAAGGAGAGCAAATGAAAGAGCTTGAGACAGAACTGTTTGCTGTGTTCAAAGAGCAGCCAGGAGGCTAATGTGGTAGGAAGGCAGTGAGCAAAGAGAAGAATACGTGATAGGGTCTGTACGACTCTAGTGGCTGGACTGTGTAGGGCCTAGTAGGCCATGATAAGGCCTTTGGATTTCATTCTGAGTGTTCTGGAAACTTCTAGATGGTTAGGCAATCACCTTATTTCAGCATAAAATGCACATATAATACTAAATTCTGTTGGAAGTTTTTTTAAAAAAATTTATTGATCCTCAATTATAATACCTAGTTATTTAAAAAATACTGATATGTATGTCACGAAATCATTGTCATATGTTTAGAAAAGAATCAGCTGAATTGTATCATTAACGCAATATCTACTTTATTCTCTCTGTGTCAGGCTTCCGCTCTACATGCCAAGTATTAAATGACACAATTAACAGTTTAATTGGAATCCTATTGTCCGATTCAGACTTCCGTAAGATATGTTGTAAAATTGACTCCACTGAAGTGTTGCTAAGTTACCATGAATTCAACTATTTTTAAGATCAGAGTTGTAAACGTTAATTATTTTATAATGGACAAGAAATACCTTTGTATATTTATCTTTATAATTCATCATGTGGA